CTACATCTACTCAATACCTACATGGGTCTTGTGTGTGATTGAGTGGCACAAGTAACTGCCTTCAAAACGAGTGTAAAGTACAAGGAGCTTCTGTTGTTCATAACAAAGCATTCAGACTTCCAAATGGGCCACATCAAGGAAGTGGTGGGACTGTACTTCCGCTGCATCCTGCTCTCACACAGGTGGGAAGAGACAGAGGTGTTGCTGCACAACATCCAGAATAAAGATGTGCACGAGTTGAAGGGACTTGGCGGGATCGTGAAACTGCAGTCATTCTGCAAAGTCGCTCATAATTCTGGGTATGGCTGGGCATGGATGAATACATGTTGCATTGACAAGAAGAGCAATACTGAGCTCCAAGAATCGGTCAGCTCCATGTTCACCTGGTACCACTGTAGAGACTCATGCCTCTCATGGTGTGATATGGCGCTTTACACTAGGGAGTACATAGCACAAACTTGCAGCATCACTCTGTGTGCTATCTGCAGGTATTCCACTATGAGGCGCAGCTTTCCCACGCAATGCGCGCCATGCATGCACCATTCCCGGGCTTCACAATGTATACACGCGCGCGCATTCCCGCACTTGAGCGCCCTATAGCGCCAGCCATCCAGAAGCATCCATCCACTGTCCACCAAGCCCTCTAGTGCGTATATTTCTATTTCTCTCATTGCATATTGTTCCACCTTTATTTTTATCATGAATTCTCACTCATATATATCTTTACATACCTACTTGGTAGCGCTTCGGCTCCGCATTACAGCGCTTAGGCGCGCTATATAAGCGCCAGCAGTACATAGTGAAATGGGGGATTTTTACCACTTACCTTACCTTACTTTACTTTCCACCCACTATCTGCCTAGAAGAACATAGTAGAAATCCATTTTGTCTATACTTCACATCTCTTTTCTCTTATCTTGCATCATATTATCACTTAAGTCTAACCTCTCTATTGTTTCCGCACGCACACGCGCTTTCCCGTGCTTTGCGCGTTCTTGTGCCTTCATGCCTTGCGTGCACCTGCGCTTTCTCGCGCTTCGCTTCAGCGCGTACCTCTAGATCTTTGCTGCACTCGCTTCCCCTTTAGGGTCGAACGCACTTGTCTCCTCAGGTAATGCAGACTAGGCAACGCGTGACCTTACAACATTTTTTAGGTACAGTTAGGAGCATCATTTGTTCCTCTCAGTATTGTTGTTTCTACACTGCTATTCAGTGCTTACATCGTCTACCTAGGTGATGTCCTACCTTCATCCCAGCCTGGTGCACTGGCAAGGAGTGTTTGGAACGAGTGAGGATGGACCTTTCAAGAATTCGTCACTCCGAAAGTTGTTATCTTCTATCAGAAGGATTGGTCATTATATCTCAATGATTGGTCTCTGAACCACAAAGAGTCCCCTGGAATCATGAAGGAGTTGGAGGATGCAACAGGAGTAGATGCACAGGCTCTCATATCTTTTCATCCAGGGATGAGCAATGCCCAACAGAGGCTTCAATGGGCGTCATCTCGAGTCACTACATTGCAAGAAGACATCATGTACTCATTATTGGCATCTTCGGTGTCCACCTACCTGTAATCTATGGTGAGAAGCAGCGCATGCTTGGGCGACTCCTACAGGAGATTGTGGCTCGGTCGGGTGACATCACTGTCCTCGATTGGATCGGACAACCTTCCGAGTTTAATAGCTGCCTTCCAGCTTATATTACTTCTTACGCTACTCCTCCATATATCCTTCCATCTTTGTCTGAAGATCAGATTCAGACAACTATCTCTTCATTGTGAAAAAATCCTGTGACTGTGGATTTGTCTTCAAGACTTTACGACTGGCTTGATAACACAAGCACTGCTCGGTTTGCAAACTGCAGACTGCATCTACCTTGCATTACATTCTGTGTTACAGAGGTCAATCTGAACTCTGGTCCATCCCAGGAGACTCAATATGGAATCAAGGCAGATGGGCTTCGCGACCTGCTGATCACTACTAAAGAGCTGATTGTTCAGTTCTCGGAGACAAGGCCCATTCAACAAACCTTCGTGCTTGTCCATCCCTGAGATCGATCTCTCCTCAAGCTGCCAGGCAATATGGAGAGCAAAGAGGATTTTTACACACCGCCTTCTTCTCTGTCAAATGACTCACCTAGTGGTTCTCTTGTGAAGCAGGAGATGGATGATCTAGAATCACGAGCATTGCAGTTGCTTGTTCACCTTGGGCAGCCTTTTGGCGCTGTAGAGAATCATGCCTCTCATGGCGTGATATGGTAGTTTTCACCAAGGAGTATACAGCACGAACTCATAGCATTACTCTGTGCGCTACCCGCAGCTATCTCTATATGAGGCGCAGCTTTCCCACGCAACGCGCGCCATGCGCGCACCATTCCCGCGCTTCACGATGTATACGCGCGCGCGCGTTCCCGCGCTTGCGCGCCCTATAGCGCCAGCCATCCAGATGCATCCATCCACTGTCCACCAAGCTCCCTAGTATGTATATTTCCATTTCCTTTATTAGCATAGTTCCACCTTTATTTTTATCATAGTTTCTCACTCATATATATTTTTACATACCTACTCGGTAGCGCTTCGGCTCCGCATGAGCGCGCTTAGGCGCGCTATATAAGCGCCAGCAGTACATACTACACTGGACCTACTTTTCCTACTTTTCACTTACTAGTTACTACCCACTTACTACTTAGCAGAATATAGTAGAAAGCTATTCCTTTACATTTTGCACTCTTATATCTCTTATCTTGCTTTATATCACTACTTAAGCTTAGTTTCTCATTTCCGCATACGCGCGCGCACTTTCCCGCGCTTCGCGCTAATACGCGCGCGCGTTCCCGCGCCTTTGTACCTTGCGCGCTCCTGCGCTTTCTCGCGCTTCACTTAAGCGCACACTTCTAGATCCTTGCTGCACTCACTTCCCCTATAGGGTCGAACGCACTTGCTTCTCAAGTAACGCAGACTAGGCAGCGCGCGACCTTACAACTTTTACAGATACAGTCAGGAGCTTCTTTTGTTCCTCATTGTATTGTTGTTTCTACAGCGCATTTTTGCTAGTGAGGCAGCGTGGCGGAGAATACAAGTGGATCACGTCAGATCGCAATATCGCTGCACAGGTCGAAGATGTGGCTTCTGTTCGAGACCTGATGAATGTCAGGCTGATAGAAATACTGTAGATGCATGCACCTGAAGGAATCTGCATTTGTCATATTGGGTCGCAAAGTGTGACACTGAATCAGACCGATCCTTTTGTATATTGTATAGGTGTGAGCAGGGTCCTAGGACTATACATTATGGGATAGTCTACTCATAAATTACAATCATAGCAAAATACAATGAGCAATGTTGCTAGATGTTAGGTACATGAACATGATCTACCGCATTGAGGACACTTCACTTTTGGACGGCGACTGGGGTTGAAAAACTCTTGCTCTTCAGCTTCCCAGTCCAGGCGGTCCTGTTTCTCTGTAAGAGCCCTTTCGATGCCTCGATCGCCTCACAGAGCTTGTCTTCATTGAGATTGACACCATGTTTGGCCTTCCGTGGAGGTATTCCAGGACTCAGAGGTGCAAAGCTCCTCCCACCATCTTCATCTTCTTCTACATATCCAGTACCTTGCTCTCTTATCATTCTGTCGCGCTGTCATGCATGGTATGTGATTCATACCATGTCAGATATATATAGAGAGTGATAAGGAAGATATGAGAGACTGTCTAGCCCTCTGTCACTGAGTTACTTCTCCATTTTTCCTTTGATTCATTGTCTTGTATTTTATTTCTCACTTTTCAGACTTATTTTTAACTTGTATTTGTATCAAGCATGTGACCTTCTGTTTATTTCTCATTGTTTATTGTTATTTGGCTTCTTTCAGCCACCAAGTTTTGTATCTCTATTTATTTCTGACTGTTTATTTTTATTTGGCTTCTTTCAGCCACCAGATTTTATTTGTCATCACATCATGTGACTGGGAAATATTCTGGTTTGTAACATTATTTAAGCTGACTCAATATGTTTAGTCATGATTGGTCATGCTTTGTAACAACATTTAACATGACTCAACATGTTCACTCATGGTTTGTCATGGTTTGTCATGGTTTGTAATTTCTTTGTAAGATTACACTGTATTTGTAATGTACTTAGTAATAAGCTGATTCATCACCTGGTTTGTAAGCCACATTCTTACCAGTCCATCTGATTAATCATGCTTAGTAAGGGGGTTCCCAAAAGGTATAAAGGACCCCATTTTCACCCATGAAATACAATCCTCCCACTTGACTCTTATCTCAAATCATGTGAGACTACTAAGACTTAAAGTGCAGGCCAATATAAGTGCCTTGAGGTAATCTAAGATATCATTATCTACTCTAAGTTGTATACTACCTTACAGGGGTTGACTATATAACTTTCGTTATTGTTATTCTACTCTAGGTTATATACTACCTTACAGGGGTTGACTATATAACCATTGAACAGCTCTCATTCTAAGCTTTACATGTATTCATAAGACTCTCTCTTTCAACGGAAAGTGAGACACATATCTAAGGACAACAAAGTTGAAACAGACTTTCATAGGTTGAAACATGACCTACTAGGCTGAAACAAACCTAACAAATTTATCCAGAACACAGAACTTTCCACAACACTTCGTATAAGACTACACAAGAAGAGGACAACAAACTAAATCCTCCCAAGAACTCACCACGTTACCTCCCACGAAGTAGAAAAGTCGGAGACCATGGACTTAAGGACTGGCAAGAAGTCTTCACCGTGTATAATTGTGTTGTCATTATACACAACTTTCATATAAGACCCTTAAGTAACAAGACAGCGCATGCTTGCCCGAGTCTGGTGCTCCTCCTATAGACATGCTGGATCACTAAGGAGGTTGGACACATCTTCGGCCTTCTGCCGGACATTGGCACTACAATCTTGCCCATCTTCATCTAGATATCAAAATTCCTTGAGTGTTTTTATGATGTATAAATTGTCATGGAAATATAAGAGGACATTTTCAGAACCAGCTTGTATGAGGTAGTCCAGCACGGTGAGTGACTAGGAGGGAGTTTGAATTCAGGTCCTCCATGCGAAGCAAGGCAGCTAACCTTGAATATGTGTCGCCAATTCTTGCCTTTATCACTCAACCTTTTGTCAAACATTTCCATGATCTCGACACAGTCATTCCTGTGAACAACAGCACATCAGCACTGGTGGTGAACCACGACCACCAGGCAGGCCGCCTAATGATCATGCACTGATTGTATGACAGCTGAGCAATCTTGTTCATCTGAGTTCCTGATGGCCCCCATGGATCATTAGATGTGACATCCCTAACTTTTGCCTGCATGTCTGAATAGCCCTTGGTGTAATTTTTGGCGACACAGAGGGCACCCTTGCCAAAGTGCTGAAGCGACATTACTACACCGTATCGTTAGTGCTGGGGGCAGAATTGTTTGCGAGCAATTGTGCCAGCATAACCGGCAGAAGCAGCAGAACCACCACTTCTGCTGCATGGCAAAATTTTCAAAGTGCTACAAGGCCATGTGTATGACAATGTATAGTAACAATCTCTGTTCCCTCCTCAACCACCCAAAGCATGTCCCCCACCTTCTCCGCTACGTCGCAGAAACAAGAAGACTGGAAAGAGTGTTTGGTGATGTCACCCTGCCAAAACCCAAAGACTAGAACATTAGTTCAGTCTCACGCACACATCTAGAAGCCCATGCTTGTACATCCCTGCACGCCCACTATGATATCTCGCACCAGCACCTTGTCTTGTGCCCTCGCGCAAGCACCCTACCCCAATCAACTGCCAGACCAGTTTTTCATGCTTCGCAACTTCCACTAGGAACTGCAAGCCAATGGACAAGAGTTATAGATCTATCGCAGTATCTGTACAATTAGCACTATACCATATGTACTGTCGACATTAGACCAGCCTAAAATTGCCTGGCAGCAACAAAAACAAAGATATTGTTGTTCATGTGGTTGCCAATAATGTCCACCGATGGCGCTCCTGTCCAATTCCACATCTCTTTGAAGAAATGATGATTGAGTGCAGCATGACAACTTTTATGCATAACCAGGATCCAATATTGATGGATATGACCTGCAGACTCTAGACTCCATCTAGGACTGGGACCGATGATCCTTTACTAACTTGTTAAGCTTAATGACTAGTTCAAGTTGAACTACATCTAGTTAGTTGGAAGTCATGTGATGCTTGCGTTCTTGGATCAAGTTCTGATAAGATGGCTTCTATTATAATTGTAGGAGTTGATTGTACGTATGTAGTCATTATTTGAACCATTTAGATTGATTTGATATTGTATCCCAACTGACCATCCACCATGTCAGACCCATACATGCAACACTATCTCAACAACTTTTGAGTAGTACCTTCTTGATCTGTTCCTGAACCAAGCCATATATCAGCACCAATCTCATCTATGCCCATTTCATCCCCCCCTGCAGCACCGATCTTCCAGCAGACAATGATCACACCAAACATCTCACTGCAGCATCCTTATGTAGATGTAAAGGCAATCCTCCAATCCGTGGAAGCCTCTCTTGAGGAGCAGAAAAAGATTTCAAAGGACTTGAATGACCTGAGCACAACCATCAATGTTTTGGAAGGTGTACTTTGTGGTAATGTAGGTCACGGTCACGGTAAGAGGAAGAAGAGGAAGGAGAAGGAGGAGGAGGAAATTATGGATTTGGATACACTACAATCCAAGGGGGGTATAGTCCGTCAGTTAGTGACAATAGATGGTGTGATCAATCATTTACTTGCCAGGTTGGACACAGCTTCCCATGCGTTTTATGATTCTTGTTTCAAATTCGTGTTCTGATTAATATAGAGGAGCCTCTTCCTGCCACCACACCACCACAAGGTCTGTTGGGGTTTTGGCCCTTTCCTTTCATACAGCACTCTTCTGAAACCCTCGCCCCTGCTGTTTATCATATGTATATCCCCTTTTAATTCTCATCTCCTGCTAGCTTTCGCATCAGAGTCTCCATAAATGGGCCTGATCTTTCCTCACTGCTACCAACCCCGTCTCCTGAAACTGCGCTCAAGGAAAGTTTCAGCAAGGCAAACGACTCAACCTCCAGGTCTTGGACGGCCCCATAACCGAGATGGGATACTACATCACTCTGCACCTTCCCAAACTCATTATTAAACCCCATTTCTCCTTCGTCTACTAATCCAAATCACAAACCTACATGCACCTCCACTCTATCTGCATTGCATTCACTTGACCACAAATCCAATCCTGCTCCATCAAACTTCACCCATACAGTGACCTTACCTTCCACCTCATTGACTTCAGGCTCATCTGCTTATGATGCTTATCCCCTGTCTCTAGAATCACCCCTATCACTCCTACTTCACCCTCATCATCACGTTCATGTTCTGCCCACTGTAGAGACTCGTGCGTCTCATGGTCTGATATGACAGTTCTCACTAGGGAGTACATAGCACGAACTTGTAGTGTCACTCTGTGCGCTACCCGCAGCTATCCCTATATGAGGCGCAGCTTTCCCGCGCAATGTGCGCCATGCATGCACCATTCCCGCACTTCACGATGTATATGCGCGCGCGCGCATTCCCGCGCTTAAGCGCCCTATAGTGCCAGCCATCCAGATGCATCCATCCACTGTCCTCCAAGTTCTCTAGTGCGTATATTTCTGTTTCTCTCATTTTTATATTGTTCCACCTTATTTTTATCATGGACCCTTACTTATATATATCTTTACATACCTTACTTGGTAGCGCTTCAGCTCCGCATTACAGCGCTTAGGTGTGCTATACAAGCGCCAGCAGTATATACTACTCTTCACTACTTACTTTTTTACCTTACTGAACTTCACCTCTCACTTTACCTACTACTTACTAACCTAGAAAGTCGCAGTAGAAATCTATTCCTCTACACTTTGCATCTCTCTTCACTTATCTTGCATTATATTACCACTTAAGCTTAGTCTCTCTATTGTTTCCGCATGCGCGCGCACTTTCCCATGCTTTGCGCCAATACGTGCGCATGTTCCTGTGCCTCGCTTCAGCGCGTACCTCTAGATCTTCGCTGCACTCGCTTCCCCTTTAGGGTTGAATGCACTTGTCTCCTCAAGTAACGCAGACTAGGCAATGCGCGACCTTACAACATTTTTTTAGATACAGTCAGGAGCATCATTTGTTCCTCACAGTATTGTTGTTTCTACACCGCACTGCTAATATGCACCTCGTGAGCCCACCCACAACTCCAACCTCTACACTCGCACAAGCACACACGACTACATTATACCACATCCTACTGCAGGTTTACCAGGATATCGGGGGAGATGTGGATTGTGAGGGACCATGTATGGAATGTAAAATGCAACATTATGAATATGATGGGCGTCGCAGCCAGAGTATGGACTCCAAGAAACAGAGCGCCGAGGAGGAACCCCAAGATCAAAGTATGATTGCTGGTTCATCGTGTATTTGCTTGAATACGTCTTCAGGCAGGATTGGTACCTCATCCTCATCATTTTCAGAGGCATCTCTGCCTGCACCTGAGGCACAGCCTGAAGTACCAGGAATCCCGCCATCTACAGAGTTGGATCACCCATCACGGTCATTTAAAGCTAATGCAGAGGCAAATCTGCATGTGCTTGAGGTGCAACTTGAAGGGTTAGGAATAGAGCCAGAAATCCCACTGCTTGCATTGGAGGTGCATCCTGAAGAGTTCAGAGGAGAGCCAACTACTGCGTCAGCTTCCAGAGCAAGCTCAAGAAGTCCATCACACACGATCAACTTGGATGCACTGCAGAGGCTTATACACGAGCATACACTTCCGCTGTGGTATCATTTGGGTACAGCTAGGATGAACCCTTGTGGCTCAGAACATATGTGGATGGATGAGTATGGGGAAGTAAACGGGGACTTTGGTGGCCCAAGTCTTGAGGAGAGTTTGTGGCTTGGCCACACACCTAATGCTAGGAGATCAGGTGAGGCAGGACTCAATAGCCTGATTGAACCTGGGCATGACGATTTTGGAGAGTGTGAGAGAGAGCAGAGCTTGCAGATAGAGAATGAGGGTGGAAGGATCGAAGGATCTGAAGAATCCTTCAAGTCAACAGAAAAATGTTCTGATGTATTGCTTACACCAAGTGATGCACACAAGCCAACAGACACGCAAGATGCTTTCCCACAAGAGTACCATTCAGGACAAATTGCAGACTCAGAAGACAGCATACAGCCTGAACTTGTTCACTTTGAGCTGCGCCAACCAAATCCCTCAGATCCAATGTGCCTCAATCCTTATTACCTGGACCAACATGATGATCTCCACACTGAAGACTCCCATGAACAAACACCTGCAGATTCTCTCAAGAGAGATGAAGAGGCCGTCATTGCAGCACTCACTGCCCCATCTCCTTCAGCAGAGAGTAGATCCCCGCATTTGCCGTCCTCCCCAGAGGGTTTATCTGTATGTTTGTCTTTACAGCCAGAATCGGAGGTGTCGTGTCCAAGAGTCCAGGATCAAGGAGATGGCCCTCCTTCACAGGAACCAACGGAGATTCTTGATGATGGGGACAACATTTTCACGATGTTTATTGATTTCACAAACACCTACACCGATGGAGCCATGTCTGCTCTGAGAAGTACATATACTGAGGATGTTGTGGAGCAAGAACCTGCAGAGATGTACATGGAGCATGAGCCTGCAGTGACTGTTAATCATCAAATAGACGTCAAATCCGAAATCACTACATCTGCCGAGCTCTCAGCCCAACTTAAACATACAGCTTCCATCCACTCTACCCCCACCTTCATTACCCCACCCCCTTGCACATTGCCATCATCTCTCACACACCTATTCAGGTCACTTTCCCCACTGTCCTCGCTGGGGGACTCTCCACCGGCATTACAAGAGGAAATCAATGCTGAGAGTGAGGAGGGGCAAGAGCAAACTCGCATGGAGTTGCGCAGAGCAGAGAGCCTCAATTTAGATGAAGACTTTGGCGTGTACCAGTGCAGAGCACGATCGGCATCCTCAATATCGGTATTGCAGAGGAGAATGCTGTTGAGATTGCTGCAGTCTGGTGAGTTAAGAGGTGGACCAGGTGCATCCATCGAAGAGCTCTCTGTGCTTGCAAAGAAGGATCTGCTCAAGATCATGATCTCCAAGCTCAAACTCAAGTGTAAGCTCGAGTCATTGGAGTCAGTAATCCAGTTGCAGGCACCAAAAAAGAAAACTAGGTTCCATGCAGATATGGATGCCACATCATTCAACACAGATGACGTGACTTCTTCCTATACCTATCTAGCCCATCAGCTCCAATATCAAGATGCAGGACATCCAGTGCCCTGATCTTTGGATCCTTCTGGATCAGCAGTGGATGTGATACCACTTGAAGTTGAAAACATTCCAGTACCGATGGAAGTAAACAATACCAATGCCATTGGAACCATGACAATCAGCAAGCCAGCACAGACCTCCATGACTACCTCAGAGATGACAGAGCCAGAGCTAGCCACAACCACCAGTAAACCCCAGGAGGATTCAATTTCACACAGGAAACGGGTGCGGCCTCTAAGCTGGAAGGTGAGCCAAATCACCGCCCAGAAGAACGTCCAGCGGCCTGAGAGAAATGGGAAACCCAAGTCACGGCAACCGCAGAAGAGGAAGTCCAAGTCACTGGCTGTTCAGGAAGAAGTCCAGATGTGTCAATGGCCCACAAAGAGCGAACAGGATGGGTCATTTCAGCAGCAGTTCGTACAGTGTGATAAGTCAGTACCTTTTGATTATTTAATTCTATGGTCATCCCATAGTTCATGCAGCTGCGACTTGTGGTATCACTTTGGCTGTGCTGGTTTTTCTGAAGGAGATCCTCACTTAGAGGAGCCAGATTCTGTCTTCATCTGTCTGCCATGCTGGTATGCGTCCAACAAATTTGTGCTTCCTGCATTAAATTAATCAAGTGAAACTATTTAGCATCTCAAGTAGGTGTTCATGCCATCCACTGGCAGCTGCCTAATATGATCAACCATGATTCTTTTTCTAGGTGCAAAACATCACACCCTGCGCAGACGCGCAAAAACATGTGCCTGTCCAGATTGTTCACTCACCAAACTCAATACAGACTCAGAGGAGTATGTCATCAAGTGCCTAGTCGGGCGAAAAACCATCAGGGACACTGGGTACCTGTTTTTGGTGAAATGGGAGGGGTGCGTTCTCCTCTTTGTGACGACTTACTGGCTTCACAGCTTGATACTTGTGTCTCCAGATATCCGATCACACAAGCTAGCTGGATCCCCAACAGAAACATAGGCGGTGTCTCACAAATCTTTGATCACTTTGTGGCAGATGTGACAACTGAGGGTATTGATCTCAATCTAAAAGGTGTTGTTCTGCTGGAGGAGGCGAGACATGGCAGGTGGAATATTTAGACTCTGAATTGCAATGCTTCATCTTTCTTTGTATGCATTTGACGAAACACAAACGAGCACTTGATTTTCACAACCAGTGAGAATGATCACGTGATTATTTCCGTAAACACCTAGTATGTTGTACTATACACCCTCTGACATTCAATATGCTCGCCTGGCGAACAAGCTGTTGAGAAAAAAACTGCATGTCACGAAGCAAGGTGAAAGTCAGCAGGCCGAATCCTCTGACCAAAGCTTCCGAAATGAACTGAACCAGAGCGGTTCGGCAAGCTAGCGGAACTTGAAATCAGCGTTGTGGCAGTCTTTCTTCAGGCTGTACTTATCGGCCCCGACGTCGCTGAAACGTGTCCATGCTAATGAGAGATTCCCGCACGCTATAACGTCTCCCAAAGCACTTGTTATCGTCCTACTGGCTGACGGCGATGACCATCTTTCGGGCAACAATTGCACTGCATGTACGTTGCACTCGACGCGAAATGACGACTGTTGCTCAAATTCCATATCATGGGTGGCATGGGAGTCAGCTGGCTTGAGAATTGAAAAGTCCATATACAATATGTGTCACATCGTGTACTACTAGTAGTACTGCTACATGTACTAGTACTAGTTCGGCATACTAGGCGGCCTCTGAAAATCGAATTTGTCTTGCAGCACCGTCGCTAGTGCATTCGTGGCGCTACTTATTACCTTTCAGATTGAAGCTGGAATCAAGCTCCTTGAATTCTCCTTTTACATCACTCAAGCAGAGTCAGGCTGCTAGCCAAAATCATCAATTTCGCTTTCATTTTATTGATCAATCGTCCACGTTGCCAGCTAGCAGCCGCCCCATGGAATTACAGGATATTACACAATATTCCGACTCTCTCGTTATGCTTCCGTACAAGCTCTACATAATCAGCTGAAGAAAATAAGATGATGATATTTTTACAAGTAAGCCTCGGCTTTGTATCTGAAGGCTTTGTGAGGCATCCCTGGAGCGTGGGTGATGGAGGCTGCATTATATGTAGATGTACATGCGGCCGGTCCATCATGATGCAAATGTATAAAAATATTGGCATGAGGTGGGTGAGTTTCAGCTTCTCATACCGGATTGTCGTATCTTAACAACCATGTTGCAGGGAAATATCATACTGTTTCAGGTTTCAACTTGGTGCTGAATGTGCTTTTGCAAGAATCAAGATTAGCTAACTGGGTATCTGCCTTGCAACGTAGTACGTACTGTCAGAATTCGTCAGCCCACATACCGGAGAATTGTGACGGATGATTGATCATCACGGGTTCAGGCTGAACAACTTGGTTGCCGACTGATGATGAGGTCCAGGGATGTCGGTGCGAACTCTCGAAGTCCGTGCGCTCTTACTATATTGCCTTATATGCACTGGCAGAATCATGAACTTCACCGTGCGACTCGCGAATTGCGACTTCGGTGATGAAAGCGGCGTATGGCATCAAGGCTATAAATTTTATATTGTTCAACTAATGTTCAACTATTTTTTCATCCTTCCCCATCCTAATCGCCTGTCCAGTGATGACGTCTTTCAGACGCTGGTTCCTGGCAGTGCTCGCGGCATCTGTTGTCAAGGCCGAGCCAGTTCAGGATCCAGACTTGCAACTTCCGCCTAGTGCTTCCATCCACCAGGCTACAGTCAAGGAGCTTTTCGTCACGAGCTACGAGGCTTACCAGTACGATACAGTAGCCTTTCTTTCTATCTGCACTCACCATATCGCATGCAGGGAGTACGCCTGGGGGCATGATGATCTGTTGCCCGTTTCAGAGTCATACTTTGATGGACGCAACGGATGGGGTGCTTCTATTGCCGACGCTATGAGCACCATGGTAAGTAATGAACCTTGTCTAGAGGTCAAGTTACTGAGCTGTCGTTGCGTGTGCACGTAATGTAGTGGATCATGGGGTTGACGGTATGTTTCCACATGCGAGACGTGAATCAACATCAACTCATTCCAAAACGTATCCAGGATTGGTTTGAACAAGCTGTCAATCACACTGCTAACACCGACTTTGCCATTTCGCACACTTTCGATACCGTCAGGTAACTTGCTGCCCTATCTTCGCTTTTAAGCTATCTTGTTGATTAAGGGCAGTCTTTTTGAAACCACTATTCGTTATGTTGCAGGTTTTATAAGTGCGTATGAACTTAGCGGGGGACAGTACCCAGTTCTGGTTGAAAAGGCCCAGGACCTCGCCGATCAAATGGCCCATGCCTGGGTTAGGGAGGTAATCGTCATAGTATTTGCATGTGCATAATGGTATCTGATTCTTTCATAGAATCAGTCCATTCCGTATGGTTTCATAAACTTTGCGAACCTCCTACCCACTATCGCCACTGTGAGCAGTTTACCGGCATCTAAATCTCGATGATACTTATATTCAATTGTAGACAAACATTGCCGAGGCTGGAAGTGTGAGTCTACACCATGTATACTGCAGAACAGATTGTGACATTTGTCCTGCGTAGCTTACCCTAGAGTGGAACCGCCTCAGGTGTGTGTGTCATTTTGCTTGTCCAGCTCCTTGAATGAACTGGATGTTAAGTCTATATACTGGCAATTCCACGTACCAAACACTGGCTGAGAAATCTGTGCAGTATATGATTAACATGGTAAGCAGGATTATCAACTTTGATGTTGGCTCTTACCTGATGTGTTACTTTTCAGCCGACCCCCCTCCCCGGTATGCCTGCTCAAGGCATTGACCCATTGACTGGTGATCCTGTTGGTGGGTATGTGGTAAGTGCTGATGTTTGTGGTATATGCATCTCCGAATTTACCTTTGTAGACTTGGGGAGGAGGTTCTGACTCTTACTTCGAGTATCTCATCAAATATGCTCGCCTTACAAATACCGACGATAACTCGTACGCTGATGCGTGGTTGACCGCTGCTGATACTTCCGTGAAGACGCTCCTAAGAGTATGCAGATCTCTTCATCTCGATAAAACTCACATTTTGATTCTTCGCATTAGTCGTCAACTGTTGATGACTGGTTGTACCTCGCTGATTACGACGACGACCAAGTTATTCGTCACGTGGGGTCCCACCTGGCTTGCTTCTACGGAGGGAACTGGATTCTAGGTATCTTCTCCTCTTCTCCCTTTGGCCTGAGCTTGATGTAACCCAAGGCGGCAAGCTCACCAATAATGAAACACTGGTTTCTATCGGTCTTCGACTCACCGATGCCTGCTGGAACACATACGCGAGCACTGCGTACGTCCCCCACCACCATCTATCACTGTGCTGATTCCTTGTTTCCAGCACCGGGATTGGCCCTGAAGGTTTCGCATACATCTCTAGCGACGGAAACTTCACTGGCAACACTGCTCCTAGTCAAGAGCAACTCGATTTCTATTATGCACATGGCTTCTATATCACCGCTCCCGACTACATTCTTCGTCCTGAAGTCCTTGAGTCGAACTTCTATGCTTGGCGTGCGACTGGTGATCCCAAGTACTTCAACAACGCAATTAGTGCCACTATCAGCTTCAAGAAGTATCTGTCTACAACTGTTGCATACACTGGTATCTACGATGTTAACAATGTGATTTCCGAAAAAATCGATGACATGGAAAGTTTCTGGTTCGCCGAGGTCCTCAAGTACCTGTGAGTATTGCTGCATGTGAAAATCTTGGGCTCTTCATAAAAATGCATAGGTATTTGACCTTTGACGACCCAAATCACATCTCGCTTGATGAATGTAAGCTCTTTCTACATAACCCATTAGCCTAAGCGACTAATGCCTTTCACTAGATGTCTTCAACACAGAGTGCCACGTTTTCAAGGCGCCGCCCGCCAAATCTCATTATGGCTCAGGTTCTGAGCCTCAACCCGTGTCATCGCAGCCATTCTCCCCAATGAGTGCACCCCTACCAGCTGTTTCCCCAAATCCTGCGCTCCTACGCTCGTTATAAACCTTAGTTCGTGGGCGCTATCAATAATTCCGCGTTTAGAGCTAAACTGTTCGACTATTTGGCTTCTGGAGTTCAGCTCCAAACCTCAAGTTATATCACTGTCCTTTTGATTTGGCTGAGTCGTCTTTCGTTTATCATGTCTTTCGTTTATCGTGTCTTTCGTTTATTGATGATGCTATCATCCTTTCTTTTGGACTTCGGCCCTTTCTCAAGATATATCACTGTCATTTTGATTTGCATTAGTTGTCTTTCATATATACATGGCGTGATAGAATAATCATAGTTACCGAATGGTGATGGGTTCCCTCATGACCATGGAGCAGTGGTAGGACGGGCCAGCCTCACGGAGCTGATGCAGCGGCTGAGCGGTGACGGCAGAAGCACGTGGCAATCGTACGCGTAAGATGACCCATCGATACCGGTAAAAATATTACTGTCCTTCACGACTGAGTACTGAGTCGTCACCCCGACAGGTTGTCAGGACACGTAGTAGCGCCAAACGAACGTTTTAAGCAAGGCTTCTTTATCACGTAAGGGCGCGGTGACCCCAATTAAAGCATGGATTGAAAGTCGAATTGAGTAGTATAAGAGATGAGTCAGGTTGCAGAATTAAATGAGCCTGACGTGGACTCGGTGAGTACGAGACACATGCTCATTGGAGCAGGCTCGGTGTGCTCAGAATTAATGGTTATTTGTCTGGCGGGCGTTTCGGACGATAGAAGGTGCGTGGAGGAAATAAACCGCCCTGCGTCAGTTGGTTTAATTTAATCTTGTCATTATGGCCGACATTCCTCACCACCGACAAGGATCAACTTTCAACGTATGTTCTTCGTCAGCTTGAACATACTACTGACCATCAATCTCTCTGTGTAGGTCAACGCGACATGTCAGGGGTGCTCGATGCACAAATGTGTATCTCGTGATAGGGGCGCAGTGCCGACGCAGACAACGCAGTAGCAACCGGTGCCAACGAGGACAATGTGAGGGCGCACAAGGTCACCAGTCACATGTTTCCTGGGCTTCGTCTTCATACTGAAGCAGCGCATGATCAACGTCAAACGTTCAACTGCGGGAGCCACGGACTACTTGACAGCATGGCCGCTCAGGAAACATACATATTAAACTATGATATTTTCAACGATTCAAGGTTACAGATTCAGTGACTCAAAGTACTAGATTGCAACATGACCATCGTAAACGTATAACAAGATTATGTACTGGAACAAGGGGTATTCAAGATAGATGAAACTGACGATAATCGACATGATTGAATGAAACATCAGAGATGATGACGTGAATATTTATTGTATGACCAGCGTGAAGTGCAATGTACAGTATAAGAAGCTGGATGGAAGTTGGATACCGCATTTGACAAGACGTGGGGAAGAAGGTGAGCCAAAAAGAAAAAAGAAAACCTCAGTTACTCCACAACATCTCTCAGAACTTTGCAAGGTCGACAGGGGGACCCGTCACCTCCACATTCCCGTGCTCATCCATTTTCGCGTTTTGGGTGGTTGCCTTGACGCTCGACTCCTTATTCGCCTGGACCTCCTCACGGCCCAAACCAAGCGAATCATCGGGGATCCATACAATGCGCTGTGGGAGGCACGCAGCCGGTTGCGCAAATCCATAATCCTCTGCACCGTCTGGCCCGCGCGCAAAGAATACATCGTCATAGTCATTGCGCGGAGCATGCTCAGCCCCTGACTCAGAGGACGAGGCGCGAGGTTTGTCAGTCGGCGAAGGTCCCTCGTCGATCTCTTCAACGGTCTCCTTGCGGTGTGAGCCTGACCCGCCATCGACATCATGTTTGAACGTCTGGTGCGCGTGACTGAGTGGAAGAGCTTTGGTGAGCGGACCAAAGGAGCTGTTGATGATGGCCTGGTAGCCGACGGTGAGAGCGATCAACACGATCATGAGCACGCCCTCTGGAAGCGCGCCTCGCTTCCCGTCCGGGTTCTCCACGAGGAAGAACAAGGCACAGAGACAGATCTGCTGGACATACATCCCAACGAACACGTGTTGAATCGCCTTCGGGAAGAACAAGCCTCCTGTGTCAGCCGAGGGTGGCTGCGTGTACTGGTAAAGGAAGAGGTACTTGTAGAGGAGATAGAAAAGGAAAAATGTAAAGCATGCAAGGCCATTGATCACAGGAGAGATGATCGAGTAAGCAAACGCTGAGATAAACTGTCAATACGCTTGATGTGAACTACCGCGAACAGACGTACTGATGACGACAAGCAGAGTGATAGTCGGGAATAATGTTCCCCAAGCAACAGTTGTCGGTGCATACTTGACATTATAAACAGCGCGTGGCGTGCTGCCAAGGATAAACAGCTTGACGTAGTAAATGATGAGCCCAACAGCACTCAAAAATCCGCCAGCTACGCCAGATAAACCCTGAAGAAGAATGTATCTGAATATCTTAATGAGCAACTGTCTAGGTAAGTTCATAAAGTTGACTTACGTCAGGAAGAAAGTCGATGCTTGAGGCAAATATTGAGCCAGGAGACCAGCTACCGAACTGGGGTTTGCGAGTATTGATGGGAGAGCCGCAAAGATGCCCGAACTCAACGTAACGATCAAGAACGAGTGCTAGATACCGTGAGCAAAACTGCTCATCGTGTATAAACAATGAAATGCTTACGATTACTTGGAAAATGAAGTACCGAGTCATCAAGCTCAATTCGAGGCCTGTGCGCGTCGGAATACCCTCGAATCGTCCAAGTAGACGAAGGACAATTGGCAAGAGCATCATGAGGACGGCGAGTAATACGGGGGGTAGAATACCCTGTATGATTCCAATAACAGGGCTTGGCAGCTTGCATAACCAAGCGAGCCATGATTCGCGAACACAAAGGCCTTCAATATTGGAGATGATACCGACAAAGGCAACGGGAATGGCCCAGAAAATGATTAAAGCTGCAGTGGCGCTATAGCTAACTACCATTCGGATGCGCTTTTCATATGGATTAAGGCCAAGGTTACCCCAGATCACATCAGGTGGAGATACTTCGAGGTACCGGTCGGCCATGCAGTATGGTTCATGGTGAGTCAAGGCGTTAACTGCAAGGTGAGCAGCGATCTGTTGGTTGAAAGTGACAAATGCGGAATTGAGAAGCGGATAAGGTTGTTTGGCGCGGTCATTTTTGTCCACCTTTCCATCACCATTAACATCTTCTGGTGACGAAAGGCCCTGATCGGCGAGAGTTTGGCGACCTTGAGTTAACAATCCCGTAGTAGCAGCGATCTCTTGCCTGCACCAATCGATCGTGTCGACCTCTTCGCCGATCAAAGGGAGTGAGAAAGGCATAAAACCGGCTGGAAGACGGTGCGAAGGCCGCTTATCCCGAGGAACCAGACGTTCCGCCAAAGCCACATTACGCTCAGGATCCGCTGAAGGGGATGGATCGCCAGCGCCGTTGGCCTTCTTTAATGCCTTTCGTCGAAGTTTAGCGGCCGTTGAAAGCAGTGATGTCTCTGCAGACTCCAGTTTTCCGCAAGCAGCCAGGCGACGATCGTGGATAGAGGGAAGCTCCTTCAGATCCCTAAGAAGTTCAAAGGTCAAACACAGCTGTCATATGCAAGGCGAGACGAATAGAAGTAAAAGAATGACCAGAGTCACTGGGCAGGCGCAATACTCGTGAGAAGTTACATAGACAGGTACGAGAAACGATAAAAAACGAAAAAAGTAGAGGTACACACCGATTGAGCCACACCTTTTTCACACCACCAGGAAGGTGGGAATACAACTGGTGAAGCGCGGGCTCAGAAAGATATTTCGTAGGAATACCAGTTACAAGAATCGTGTTTGCTTGCACAGAGCTGGAATGAGCAGGATTGATGAGGTGCAACTGCCGAACTGTGGTGAAGTGTTGCATTTCCCGCCTGATATTCCAGTAAATCCAAACTAGTAGTGAAGACAGTCAAATTTAGAGGTCTCGTAAAACCTGTTGAGCAGGCTCACAAGTAAAGAGGTATGCAAGAATAATGTGAGCGGCGAATCTATCATTGTGTGGTTTAGAAATGTTGCCAAAGATGAAGCGATCCAGTCCTGTGCTGTTGGGGGTAGAATTGTTGACAGAGGTGACTGGCATCAGCACGGCCCAGGAAATAAACCAGATAGGGAGAAGGACGCGAATCATCATCCGCAAGAACCGAACGAAAAGGTAGGCGTCTGGTCCGTTGACTTGTTGAACATCACGATAGTCTGTCTTGAATAGGGCAATAGGCCAAGTTAAAAATCCAGCTTCGAAAGGTTTGACACGGTCCCTGGATGAACAAAACATGAGCCTTCTAACATGAGGCTATATTTGAACGCATACTTTTCAACCGGAGCTAGTGTGCGTCGCTCATAAACTTGTTTGAAATAAGGACGTAGTATCGTGAACAGGCCAATCTCAATCCCAAAAACTGCAGCATTGAATACAAGGGCAGTGACGAAAGTGGCTGTTGTAGCAGACTTCGCGGTCTGCTGGCTCACGCCCGACCTAAGAAAGTCAGCCACAGGCAATAGACGAGTAAATGAAACACATACATGGCGATAGACAAGAATGAAGTAAGGGGAAGAAAGAAAAGGAGAGCGATAAACTTAAGCCGAACTTAGGAAGGTATAGTTTATGCTAGCAATCCGGGAAACGTTGTTAGCCGACTCCTGACATCAATATTACTTCATTACTTATGTAATCACTGATCTGATTACGTTTTCATGTAACGTAAGCCACTCAAAGGCCAAGGCTGCGAATGATTCTCTCCGTATCCAGATATCTTGTAAGTATTTGCCAACCAACAATTGTATTGTATTCTCTAAAGCAATCTCTATTGGCAGTGATTGTTATCTTCCGTGGCAGTTGGTTCTAGTCTAGGCACAAGATCATGTCATGTTTAGACCTTCCCGTTCCACTCCGACCCTTGTAAATTAGATTGGCCCCGCTTCATGACTTGCCGACGAGGACACGGCACGATCATCATCCCGGATCCTGCACAGGCGACAGTGATATTTCAATGAGCAACTCACTCTCAGGCGGATGTTATCATGGTGCCCTACCGCCATGATATAGTTGTATAACCGCCTTGGCCCGGGGTTAACGTTCAAGCATTGCAGGTCAAGTCAGACCTCTCAAGATAACCGCAGGTCAAGGAAAATATCTGCAGTACAAATTCGCCCACTCTGCGGACAAGAGATCTGCTCTTAAGTCCGTGGCCGACCAGACAAACACATTGAGCAGCAACTTTTGTGCGGCTCTGGCTCTTTGAGGCGAGCGAGGGGGCACAATGACTCTGATCAACTTCTAGTCAGTTCTTGGGGAAAGAAAAACTATTTTATGGTACTCGGAAGCACGTGCCATGGTAAAACAAATCAGGCTGATGAGTACGGCATAGAAGTAACACCTAGTGCCGGACATTCCCTTACAATACACAGCATGCCCTGAACTCAGCAGAAGGTTCACTTCATCGATGCCATGAGCTGGTCTAACTCTCTGGCAATAAGGGAATTAGGACACGACTTCCTAAGTTGTCTTCAACCACCATAAGCCACAAATAGCAAATAATAGCGAAAAAAACTCACTCCATCCCTTTCTTATCTCCACGTTCCTTGCACTCCCTGCCTGCCGCACGCCAGTCTTCGCACAGCACATAAAGTCCCACGCGTTTTGGGCCATCGCATCGCATTACGTATGACGCTGCTTCCTTCAAGTGACCAGCTTCGACAAGATGTTTTACGAATGCCTCGTAGCCAATAGGGCTCCGTCTTGAACGCGCAAACGCGTCTAGTGCATCGAAATCCCGCATAGCTGTGAGCGCGTGCAACTTGAGATACCAAAATCTGAAAAACGTAGCATGAGTTCAAAAGCCCTCCCTGGAACCACACAGTTGACAGACCGTTTGTCTGGAACTTTGAACTCGCTTTTGACGCGGTCGGCTTTCTTGCTCATACCATTCGAGATACACGTGCGTATCGTCTCAGAGACGCTTTGTCCGAAAAACTTGACCTTGCCATCTGAGTCCTTCTCATATTGCTGCTGAAGCGCAAGCAGGCGAACACTTTCATTCGTCATCTACGAAATAAAGCTCAAAATTGAGCGGAAACAGTCGCAGTACAAATAATCAGGCTTACCTTGGCTTCAAATGGACGGTCTTTGTCCTCTGAAAAGAATTTCTCTGCTGCATTCACGGCTGTCATCACCGCATGAGGGTCCTGAATAACTGTTAAATTGCAGATAACTGAAGAAGGAAATTTCGCGCGTACAGTCATCTGGGCTGCCTCGTCTAGTGCCAGGATTGCACTCTCCACTCTCCTATCATCACTGTAGTAAAAATCTCTTAGCATTTCTCGGTTCTGCTCCCGAGCGTAAACTTGAAGGAGCTTGCTTGCAGGTGCAAGCTGATCTCCGCCATCCTCAATCAATTTGAAAAAAGAGCCTAGAGGAAGGCGTTTGTGAAGATGTAGTAATACATGGTACACTTGACAATTGTCTCAGATATCAAAGTTCCAAATGCAGGGCACTACTCACCGAGATCGGTGTCACCACTATCGACCGCTTTTACCAGAGCCAGTTTGTCTTCTTTCATGGTTAATAGTAATGGAACCTGATCGGAGGCCCTAGTTTCGTGGTCTAACAGCTGAAGAAGCATATCTCAGTATAAGGGAGTGAGAACAAAAAACATCTTTACCTTGGTGGCCAATCCTGTCCTCCCAACCTCCCATGCTCGTCGGGAAATATCTGCATAGCTGACCTCGCCGCCACCGAGCTTCTCAAACTTGTCTACTATAAGTCTGCACACTTCATCATCTTCGCCGTCAACAGCAGAAGACTTGGACCGTGCAATCTTTACACACGCCCAGTGCTTGAGAACAACATCAGGTTTAAGAGACAGGAATGAAGAGACACGGATGGCAAGAAGGTGCAGGTTTCGGGATGTTAAGCGATTTATGAGGTGCGTCGGGGATACATATTGATACCTGCAGGATCAGATTTCGATCACATTGAGCCTTACAGATATCGAACTCACTCCGAATACGTTAAAGGGATTCCAATTTCGTAAAAGCGGACAGCATTCAGTACTTTCAATGCTTGGCCCATGGCTATAAAGTCGGTGGGATTGTAAAGGTCTAGGAATCCCCATCCAAATTTTGCGGCCTATCATGTGGTCTTCAATTAGTAACTGAAGGGCCAATTTAAAGCATAATACTTGCACTAAGCAACTTTCTTTGCCAATAAGGATCCCATTCATGACCAGCAGCATCAATACATTCATTCACAGCCGCAGCAAGGTCTGATCGAATACTTCGTATGTTCTCATCTGCTTTTGGTGATCGTTGTACAAAACTTTCCCAAGCTGCAAACAGGATGGCAGACGATGATGTTGAGCCTGGACGAAATATTGATACCGAAGACACTGTACGAAGTATGTCAAGGTTGACTTACGAAAACGTACTACCAAACAAGCTTACCAGGCACTTTCTGGATGAAGTCGCAAACGTCCTGACCTATAACACGGGCACCATCGGTCTCTGTGACGACAAAGGTAGCACCAAAATACTGATAGCTATTGATATCACATCAGCCATTGATGTGGACAAGAGAGAAAGTCCAAACCGCAGAGTCTCTCCCGCTTAGGTTATCTCGTGAAGGCAGAATAAGTGATGCGAGATCATTCCAAGTAACCAAAACTGCGTCGTTGCCGCACCATTCCACTTGATTGACCGGTCCTTCAGCACCCACGGTTGCTGTGTCGAGAACGACCAGTTCACGCTGGAAGTCCGTTGAAACGACCCAAAGAAGACCAGAGAAAGTTAACAACGCAAGAAATTTACCATTAGGCGAAGGAGAGACGTGCAAAAATGGCCCACGGGCTACGCGTTGATCCGCACTTTCCAGGTTATCCACGGTAAGGATAGTGGCATCCACTGAAAGTAGCACCTCTACATGTCTCGATATCGATTGATCTGGGGGTATAACAGCCCACGAATGAGGTGGTTCGGATATCCCTAACAGAAATTGATACATGCTAGACAGATAATATGGATGATGAACATACCAGGGTTTGCAAGCGCCAATGGCCTCCCGCCTTCCCAATCTTTCACCTCCAGGAGAGTCAAAGAGCCTGTTAGGGCGACTAGTCCATTCTCATGTATTCTAGCGTCGATTATACCCAACTCCGCTGCCTCGTTTCCCAACGAAAACTGCTGGTAGTCGCCTTGCAGGTCGTACAAACGATACACACCCTCCTCATTTAAAACGACAAGTCGCTCATCAAAGGTCCATCCGAACCGCACTATTCGGCCTTGATCCCACTGTCAAATGCGAGTTAGCTAGCCATGAACTCTTGACTTGATGCAGAATATCCACACTGAATAGCAGCAAGCCCTCTCCGGCCGGCGAGTACACCTGTATTTGAGATTTCGTAAATGCAGGTCCTCCGCGACCCAGTGCAACCAGCTTCGAGGTGTCTCTCATAAGTGCTAGGGCACCTCTCATCCTGCAATTCTGGATAATTGAATGAAGCACATACCTATCGGCCCACCATTCTTGCACCCAGCAATCAAGTAGTCAGCGATGTTTGGGAGCTTTCCAGGTAGCGTGTACAGTTGCTGGCGTCTGTAAAACACGACGCCGCTTGAGACTGCTTCCCATGTTGCCGAAGGGTGTTGTACGGTGTCCATCCTTGAATCTGGACTTCAAATCACGAAAGTTCTTCAAGGTAACAGTCGAACCAGGATCTGGCAACAACGACGAACTCAATCGAGGTGAACTGTTCAGACGTAAAATGTTGTGCGACCACGCAAACGGAGAGCACGACTTTCAGGAATAGTACTACTTATGTAATTCCATTGTCCTCATCGTTACTACTGCCAGTGCAGCTCCGAGTCGGGGAACGTCCGATCTTCATTCTATAACCTGACGGGTCTAGAAGACTAGCTATAAAACACCAAGCCGGACTCGGAATCGACGCGAAGTTGTCGACTGGAGAATTGGCACTTTTCCAACCGAAGGTTGGACGAGGTACCTCAATTGCTGAGCCGATTTCGGGGGACCGTGTCCACATTAATATTCTCAGACTGCTTGTGCAGCTGGTGATTCGAGACAGTGAGTACTGGCTAGTAGCCTAGGGGACACACTGGCATCTAATCATCTCAAATCCCATCCGTTTCATGATATTATGTTTTCGCCTCTCTTTGACAGGTAAATACCCTATCATTCTCCTCAACTACCACACGTAACTTGGGAGTGAAGACTATGCTACATGCTTGTGAGGACAGCTGTTTCGAGTATTACCTGTAAGTGACATCCAGCCACATGTCTCCATTTTGTGTCTCACCCAGGCACCTAGTCCAGTGTGCACCTCAAAATGAGGGCCCCGGCTGCAAATACATCTTCGTCGAGCCAGTTGATATCCGGGCCAGGCATCGTTCCAATTTGCTCGTCCATGCCTACGTAGAATGCATTGAACTATGTGTCCTTCTTGTCCCCTCAATGGGAGTTTCATCCACATTGAGGAGGTATGCATTAATCTGGAACGCCACGACGCAGATGGCTCAATATCATACAGAGAATTTTTGCGCCCTAGCATTCGAAATCGGATTTACCACCTTCACCACCACTGGGTGAACGACCTCCACAATGCATC